TGAGAAGAAACTCTGGGCCTTTCCTCTGGTTCCTGAAAAGAAACAAGGATCCCAAGCTCTTCATTTTTATTCAATATAGTTCTCAAAATTTTAGAGCAATAAGATATGAGAAAGATAAAAGGGATAAAAATAGGAAGGGAAGAAATCAAACTATCTCTATATGCAGACAGCATAATTACATACTTAACAGACACTATAGACTCCTCCAGAAGGTTCTTTGATAAAATAAATACTCTAAGTTCCACGATGAAACTCAACATGCAAAAATCAGGAGCTTTCTTATATGCTGATAATGAGTTTTCAGACAGGTGTCTTTGCCAGTGAGGTGTGTCTCTTGGAAACAACACAAAGTCAGATTTAAAAAAATCTGCTCAGCAGTCTGTTTTTTCATTTTTATTTTTTTTACTGAATTGGGGCCATTCACATTTAAAGTTGTTACTGAGAGATGTTTACTAATTCCTGCAATTGTTGACAATTGTTTTTCTTGCTGAATTATTTGTCTTTATTTTCTCCCCTGTTGGTATAGTAGAGGTTTGCTGGTTTACTGTGTAGGATATATGGGTTTCTTCCTAGTTCTTCTTTATTTATCTATTCCTTTCACAAAACATTCTTTCTTATATTCTCATGACTGAGACAGTCTCTCCCCTTCCTCTCTCTATGATACCCTTTTAAGTATCTCCTGCATTGTTGGCTTGGTGGAACGAACTGCTCACATTTGTGTTTGTCTTGAAATGCCCTTACTTCTCCATCAATTTGTAAAGATACCTTTGCTAGACAAAGGCCTTGTTGGAGGAAGTGTGTCACTGTGGGGGTGGGCTTTCAGGTTTCCTTTTCAGGATACCGCCCAGTATCTCAGTCAACTTCCTATTACATGCAAAATTGTAGGACTCTCAGCTATTTCTCCAACACCACATCCACCTACATGCTGCCATGCTCCCCACCATGGTGATAATGGACTGAACCTCTTAAATTGTAAGCAAGCCTCCAATCAAATGTTTTCCTTCAAGAGAGTTGCTCTGGTCATTGTGTCTTGTCACAGCAATAAAAACCCTAACTAAGACAACTTCTTTGCTTTTTATTTTTGACTTCCTGTATATAATATGTTATATGTCATAGTGAAGATCTTCTCTGGTCATGTCTATTTGGGATTCTAAATGCCTGTTGCATTTGTGTGTCTATTTCTTTCTCTAAATCTAGAGAGTTCTGCTATAATTCATATTATCTATGCCTTTGGTATTTAGTCTCAGCTCTTTATTCTCCTGTAGACTCTTAGGTTTGGTCTCTTAAATATATCCCAGAGTTCTTGGAAGTCATGATCATGTTCATTTTTATCCTTAGTAAGTTTTAAATGTAGTGGTTCATCAACCTTGTCCTGCACTCCTGATGGGTTGTTGTTTTTTAATATGTGGTCTATTGCTGATGCTTTCTACTGTGTTTTTTTTATTTGATTCATTAGGTTCTTAGTTTCCAACTTTTCTAACTTCTTTTAAGTTCCAAATGTCCTCACTGAGTTTTTCTCTTCAATGCTGCTGACTTTCTCATGCACGTCTTCTGGCTTTTCCCTCTCTGTTGCTATCTTTTCTCTCAGTCTTGAACTAAATTAATTTGATTATTTATAGCCTATTTCAGGTCACTGATCAGTGTTTATTAATTTATTTGTTGACAGTTTTATTCTGGTCAGTTTATCTCTACATCCTTTCTCCTATCCTCACCAACGTCCTCCCCACACCAAGTTCCTCATCTCACTTTCATGGATTTTCGTCTTTGTTTTGTGAGCCACTGGGCTTATCCAGGGCCACTCATGTGGGCACAGATGTAAACCCATTCACTGGGAAATGAGTAACTCTCCAGTGGCTATATCACTGAAGAATTGTCTGTCCCTGGCAGGCACTGGCTGCTATTGGTTCTACTGGGTGAGATGGGGACGAATGAGCCCTCTCCCCTCTATGAATACTTGAGTCTAGTCTTGTGCCATAGGAAGTCACAGTTCTATGAGTGCCAGAAAATATCATGTTCTATTTTTTTTTTAGCCTGTTAAGTTTTTCAGGTTTATTTTCTACCAAGTTTTATAACTCTTCCTCTCTTTTGATGAAACTGTGTG